TTGAGTATACCCTTGAGCAACAAGTCTAGCCTTGTTTCTCACTATATTACCACTCTCATCAAGATTATTCCTAAATACCCATCTAGTACCTACAGTAGATTTATTACTAGACCTTTCAACTAATGTCCATACTTTACTTCTCTCAAATTGATTTAACTCTTCTTGCATAGCCATAATCCAATGTTCATCATTTAATGCTTCTTTAATATTCTTAGGCTCTATGCATGAGATAAATGCAACATAATTACAAATATTTCTAAGAGAAGATCAAGTTGTTACCCCTTTTGATGGATCACCTATAATTTCACCATCCTTGACATAGTTGTACTCTCTTGGATAAGATACTTCCCTTTCTTCAATGGTTGGATTCTCAAGAGGATCATGAGTTTCCTCATTTTTCGTTTCTTCCTTTGATGATGGTTCTCCAACGTCATGTCTAACGTCATTTGTATTTATAACACCTACATCATTATTCACACAAGAATCCTTCCTCGAAAGGGGATTATCATCGAAAACAACATCTATAGACTCTTCTACAACTAAAGTTCTTTTATTAAATACACGATAGTCTTTAGAATTTAAGGAATAACCCAGAAAAATTTCTTCATCACCTTTAGCATCAAATTTGCCAAGGTTTTCTTTACCGTTGTTTAAAACAAAACATTTACATCCAAAAGGATGAAAATAACTAATGTTAGGCTTTTTATTTTTGAAAATTTCATATGGAGTTTTCTTTAAAATTTTCCTAATCATTACTCGATTTACAACATAACAAGCGGTATTTGTGGCTTCCGCCCAAAAATATTTTGGCAAATTATTTTCACAAAGCATGGTTTTAGCCATTTCTTCTAAAGTTCGATTTTTCCTCTCAACAACTCCATTTTGTTGAGGGATTCTAGGTGCTGAAAAATTATGGCTAATACCGTTAGAGTTACAAAATTCAGTAAATCCAATATTTTCAAATTCAGTTCCATGATCACTCCTAACACTAGTTATAGAGTAACCTTTTTCATTTTGGATTACTTTTGAAAACGTGATTAATTGTTCTAATGCTTCATCTTTAGTATTTAAAAATAGAACCCAAGTATATCTAGAATAGTCATCTACCAAGACAAATGCATATTGTTTTCCACCCAAGCTAGTAGTTCTAGTTGGCCCAAAAAGATCTAAATGGATCAATTGTAAAACTCTACTAGTTGATACATCATTAATGGATTTAAAAGAAACTCGCTTTTGTTTTCCTTTAGCACAAGCATCACAGATTTTATCATTATCAAATTTAAGCTTAGGCAACCCTCTTACTAGGTCTCCTTGAATTAACCGTTGCAAAACACTCATACTAGCATGTCCTAGTCTTCTATGCCATAACCAACTATCATGTTCATCCTTAGCAACCAGGCATAAATTAGTCATATCAAAAGAATCTAAATGCACCATGTATATATATATATCCCTATTTTATGAACAACAAGCATAATCGAAAATAGATGCAATGTTAATCAATTTTGCAATCATTTAAAATAAAACATTGTATCTTTTATCAAATTTATTTTTCAAAAGATTATGCTTTTAACCCATTCACATATAAAACATTATGCAATGTTGATTATAGAGATTAAGAGAACATGCATAAAGTTTTTGAAAATGTTATGCAATAAAACTTTATAATATTTAAACAAAAAATCTATGCATAAACATTAAGAAAAAAAATTTTAGGTCAAAATTTTGCAAAACCAAAGTTCTTGAAAAATCGATATCAATTGTTAAAGAGATATCAATTACTTTTTAAAAACAATTTTGACCAAAAATTAATATGATGAACTATAGTTTATAAAACATTACCAAAATTTACCATGTTCATCATACAATATTTTTCAACATACATGAGATAAAACATAATTCAACATTTTAAAGCCTCATGCATGCATAAACTAAATGAGCAACCAAATAATAAAAACATTAAGTTTAGAGGTTACCCATTCCCTTTTTATGTGTGGCTTAGAGCATCTTGAATATCATCATCTTTATCACAATTGCTCTCACACACCTACAAGTGACATTTAAGTAGATTTTGGTATCCAAATTGCTTTGGATCCTTGAACATTAGTTTCAATGCCTCTTGTTCCTTTTGGAACCCATACTTGTCTAATTTTAAATCGTTTTCCTTTCTTTAAAGGACAAGTATGTTCCTTATGACCATGATAATGGCAATGTGAATAAATTGTCATTATTGAACTAGATGAATTATTTAGAATGATCTCTTTTTCTCTTGTTAAACATTCAAGCTTATCTTTCAAATTGAAATTTTCTTTTTCAATACTTTCAAATTTCATTTTCAATACTTTCAAATTTCATTTTTGAGAGTTCTAAATCCTTCTTCAAGATTTCATTTTGATTTTCAAAATCCATTTTCATTTCTAGAAGAAGTTTGTTTAATTTGAAAATTTCTTTTTCAAAGTTTTCAGATTTTATTTTTGAAAGCTCTAACTCCTTTCTCAACATTTCATTTTGATTTTCCAAGTCTATTTTAGCTTTCAAAAGAAGATCATTTTTAGCAATAAATTTAGAAATCAATTTATTGTATTTGGAGTTCATGGTCTCAAACTCCGAAAATAATTTATCATAAGCATCTTGTAACTCATTAAAAGATTTTGAATTTGATATATTTGAGTTAGAAGATACCTTTGGCTCTGTGAGAGCTAATAGAGACATCACTTTTATTTGTTCTTCTTCTTCATTGTCTCTATAGATCTCCTCAAGCTTATCCCACATTTCTTTGGCACTTGAACAAGAAGAAACTCCTTTATATACATTAGGATCAATTGCACAACACAACATGTGCATAGCCTTTGAGTTTTGTTGAGCTTCCTTCCGTTCTTGAATACTCCACTTCTTTGCCTTCTTAGTAGGAGAGGAATATCCTTTCTTGATTATCATCCAAGCTTCCATATCAAATGCTTTGATGAATATCATCATACACCTCTTCCAATGACGATAATTTGTTCCATTGAAGTGTGGAGGCACGTCAATAGGTCTGGATTCTTCCATGGAGAATGAACCGGAAGTAGACGCCATCTTTATCGATTTAACTCTTCCCGGATCGACTCAAGAGGTGATTAAACCTTCAAATGAGTGAGGCTCTGATACCAATTGTTGAGTTAATCGATTGACGGAATTGGCCAAGAGGGGGTGAATTGGCAATTAAAAATTTGGTGGAAGCTTTTGCAGAAAAATTGAAAGTAATTGCACAGCGATTTAGAGTGGTTCGACTTTCTCAATCAAAGTCTACGTCCACTACCTTAGCTATCCACACTAAGGATTTTCCAACAAATTCACTAATTTGTTCTTTACAACTATGACTATCATAACATATACGTACATAATTAAATGCACTCACCTGGATTGTATCGCTATAATATCCAAAATGCAAAGGTGATCACTCCGATACTTTGCCTTTATCTTTAGTTTTGCTTGACTCTGGAGCTTGATTTTGATATATTCAATCATCCAAATAACAACACGTACTGTTGAGTTAATCGATTGACGGAATTGGCCAAAAGGGGGGTGAATTGGCAATAAAAATTTCAGTGGAAGCTTTTGTAGAAAATTGAAAATATTTGCACAGAGATTTAGAGTGGTTCGACTTTCTCAACCAAAGTCTAAGTCCACTACCTTAGTTATCCATACTAAGGATTTTCTACAAATTCACTAATTTGTCTTCCTTTTGAGGACAAAGAGTAACCTTACAAATCGCTCAAGAATTATACCCCAAATTCTTGAGAACACTCTCTGCCAAAGAGAACAATACAAATTCCGCGAACTTACAGAAAAACCTCACAAGGTAAGATGTTTGCACAATTCTAGAACAAAGAAATAACACTCAAGAATAATACAATTGAGTACAATAAGTGTTCTTGAAAGCAAAAATGAATATTGAATGAAATAAGCTTGAAACTGCTCAAACTTAAGGTTTGATGCTTTCTCTTTGATTCTCTCTCAATTCTTCTTAATTTTTGTTGATCAATGGCTTCTAAGCTTGTTTAAATATTCCTTGGATCAATTCTGAACGTTGGAGATCATTAGTGGAGTCAATAGAGCCGTTATTGTGTGAAAATAATTAAATAAAACAGTTGGGAGCGTGGGGGGTATCGACACCCCATCATAGGGTATCTGTACATGCAGTGTAAAATTCAAATATTTCGACCGCTATAAGACTGGGGGTATAGGTACCTTCTGGGGGGTATCGGTACCCTCCGAGCATTCTGTTATTTCTCAGAGCCAAATCTTATATAGGGGTATCGGTACCCTATGGGCAATCTGCCTTTTTCCGTTTGAGATTTATTAAGAAAAGATTTTTGGCTCGATTAAGGCTCAAAATACTTTGTAAAATTTGTTTCAAAAATATTTTAAGACTAAAACACATCTTTACACTTAAGTAAGGATTAAAATTGTCATTTGAAAAACTTGGAGTAATATTTTTGATATTCGAATAATTTAATCGAATATATATTTGAAAATGATTAGAAAATCTTAAAATAAAATAACATTTAATTTGTTATATCGAAACATAAAAATGTTTTCAACAATCTCCCCCTTTTTGATATAACAAAACATTTTAGTAATTTTAAGATTTTCTTATTGAAAATCATTTTAGAAAACAATTTTGAGAAAATTATTACTCCCACTTACTATAACACTTCATTTCTCCCTGTTTTTGTTAAATAAAAAAGAAGACTCTAAAAAGTTAAAAAAAAGTTTTTTTTTGTGAATTGATTATAATTAGATATAGCTTAAGCTGTTAAGATCACAATCAAGAGAAATGTTAGCCATTAGTTCCATAATTCAATATTCAAAAATAATGTGAAATGGTAAATTGGACATATTTACTAATATGTAAATAATGTAAATGATGCAAAACATAAATCAAACATATATATAAATAAGCATTTAAGTTCAAACATCCAAAACAAATTCAAACATCCACAAATTTAAACATTCACATACATCCAAAATGTTAAAACAATAAGTTCTAAGTCCTATCCAAGAAAACTAAAGCAAGGCATGGTTCAAGCATCCGTAGGAGGATCGAGAGGAGGAAAATGAGCTCACATAACAGCCATCTCATATGTGAATGCATTAATTCGATCGTTTGTTGTTTCGTTGTTCGTGCGCATCTCCCTTAAAACTTCCAATTGTTGAGCCCCCATAGCTGTAATATGGGACTCGATGGATGCAAACCTTAGATCAAAATTCTCCACAAATGATCGAAAATATGGAGGCATTTGATCCTCTTGCTGTGTCAGCTCATCGTTAGGAACTTCAACGTCAATATCTTGCATGAGTTGTTGAAATTCAGGATCATCATCATCTGCCGGTGCCGGAAGAGGTGGAGCTCGTGAAGAACTAGCTCCCGGAGTTTTCTTAATTGTTCGAATCCATTGACCCGTTTCCGTATCCTTTTTCCATCCCGATTTCTTTAAAGAAGTCAAGTTTATTTGGTTTTTGAGAGGGAAGGCTATATCAAGTTGTACTCTAAGCTCGGCTTTGATAAACAAGTTACTCAGAAGATAACCGTAAACAAGAGTTTCTCAAAGCTTTTTATTAGGGACAAGATTTATGGTTTCAACGAGTTCGGCAAATATAATTTGAGGTAGGTTAATTTTCCTATTATTTTGGATACAATGTATCCACCAAAGGTCTAAGGCTCTAAAAGTGGAGTATTTGCCTCCAGATGGTCTAAACCACTAAGAGATCATCAGATGAAGAAAACAATCTTGGTGATCTAATACACTCGCACTAGACTTGACCTTGTAAGGAAATCCTATTGTTTCTTTTTCATTATATAAGTTGTCATTTTCTAAACCAAATGCATTTTCTATATACTAAGAGTCAATATGGATGAATCATCCTAGAAGATAGGATCGTATTCCTATTGTTTTAGTTCTAGCTCGATTTTGAATACAAACGATATTTAAATAGAAAATTCGAACAAGTTGTTGGTAAACAATTGGTTCGAGTTGAAAAAGTTTATCAAACTTCTAAGCTTCTAGAGTAGGAAGATATCTAAAGTTTATTTCTTGCATAGCTCAAAGTGAAGGAATACGTTCTTCCCGAATTTTGTATGACTCAAAATACTGAGAATACCTAAAGAATAGATTTTGTCTACGGCCAAGTTCGTTAAAGCATGAATCACGAATAGTCATAACAAGATCATCAGGATTAGGAATTTGTTGGATAAGAGGAGGATTTGGAGGTGGGTTAGGAGGTTGGTTTGAACGACTAAAAGATGTCCTAGGGCGTTTTTGAGACATTATATAAAAAATCGGAAGGGTAACCTACAAATTTAAAACATATGTATGCAATAGAATCAATTCCCAAAACTCAAATGAGTCCTTAACATTTCAAGGTTCTCTAAAATAATCCTAATGGGCAATTTTGAAAACTATGTTCGAAAATAACGTTTGAAAATCAATATATAGTTTTCAAGGATAACATAATTAAATCAAAACACAACAATTTGAAAATCAATTTTTTTTAAATTTCAGACATTAAAAGAATTTGATCAAATCTTGTGTTTTTGATGAAATTAGTTATAGAATCTAGTTTATAAACATCATATAATCAAAGCCCGATCACTATTTCATCCTAGAACTAATCAAAACTAGTCATAAGTTCAAAAATCAATAAAATAGAGTTTTCAGAAAAATTACCTTGAAAGATGAATATTGAGTGGATTTTGATGATGTTTGCTCGAAATTAATGATGATAGCAGGTTTAGGAGTTGAAAACTGAGTGAAATTTGACTTGAAAATGTTGATTTTAAGCAATGTAGAGATTAGGGGTGAGAGAAGAGTGAAACGGCGAGAGAGAGATAAGGAGAGGGTTTTAGCAAAATAAGGTTCTTGGGCGTTTAATAACCAGAACCCGTGTAGGGTATCGATATCCTCATGTGGGGGTATCGATACCCATTCAAAGAGGGTATCGATACCTATGCAAAGGGGGTATCGATACCTAGCGCTTAGAAAAGTTAAAAATATGTGTTTAATCATTTGAAAATCCAAATTAATCTTTCCTAGTGGTATTGGCAACTCATATTACGAAAAATAACTATGTTCAATCAATCAAATCTATCCTTAAATTCTATTTGAACATATAATCAATTTTCACTAAGAATCATAAACTCCCCCTAACTATTAGCAAAGAATGCAATCAAAAATATTATTTTTATAAACATTTTCATTTCTAATTAAAATTGCTAAAATTATTTCAAACACTAAGTGAAAATAGGTCAGTTAAACCTAATTCTCTCCTAAGTGTCCAAAATTTCTCTTTATCTAAAGTTTTTGTAAAAATATCCGCTAATTGGTGCAAAGTGCCAATATATTCTAGAACTATATCTTCTTTTGTGACATGATCTCTAATGAAATGATGTCTAATTTCAATGTGCTTAGTTCTAGAGTGTTGGATGGGATTTTTAGTGAGACAAATAGCACTAGTATTTTCACACTTGATAGGTATGATACCTACTTCAATTCCATAATCTAAAAGTTATTGTTTCATCCATAAAACTTGTGCACAACAACTACCCACTGAAATGTATTCTGCTTCAGTGGTAGATAAAACAACACAATTTTGTTTCTTTAAAAACCATAAAATCAGCATATTTCCTAGGAATTGGCAAATACCGGAGGTGCTTTTCCTATCTATTTTGCATCCTCCATAATCCGTATCAGAGAAGGCATGCAAGCTAAAGCTAGAGTCTCTAGGATACTAAAGTCCTAAACTAGGAGTGTCCTTAAGGTATCTAAAGATTCTCTTAACAGCTAGTAAATGTGATTCCTTAGGGCATGATTGAAATCTAGCACATAAGCAAACACTAAACATAATGTCCGGTCTACTTGTGGTTAGATAAAGTAAGGAGCCAATCATTGACCTATACAATTTAACATCCACACATTTACCTCTTTCATCTTTGTCAAGTTTTGTAGAAGAACTCATTGGAGTGGCATGAGGTTTCCTATTTTCCAGTCCAAACTTCTTGAGCATATCCTTGACGTACTTAGCTTGATTGATGAAGATTCCATCTTTTCTTTGCTTGATTTGGAGTACCAAGAAATATGAGAGCTCCCCCATCATGCTCATCTCGAATTCACTCTGCATTAGCTTAGAAAATTCTTGGCAAAGAACATCATTAGTAGAACCAAATATTATATCATCAACATAAATTTGAACTACTAATAAATCTTTACCTTTTCTCTTTAAAAACAATGTAGTGTCAACCTTCCCTTTTGAAAAACCCTTTTCGATTAAAAAATTTGACAATCTTTCATACCAAGCTCTAGGAGCTTGTTTTAAACCATATAAAGCTTTTGTCAATTTGAAAATATGATCTGGAAATTTTGAATCTTCAAAACCTAGAGGTCGTTCCACATACACTTCTTCTTTTATAAAACCATTTAAAAATACACTTTTAACATCCATTTGATATAATTTAAATTCATTGAAACATGTAAATGCTAATAACATCCTAATTGCTTCCATTCTAGCTACGGGAGTGTATGTTTCATAAAAATCTATACCTTCTTCTTGAGTATACCCTTGAGAAACAAGTCTAGCCTTGTTTCTCACTATATTACCACTCTCATCAAGCTTATTTCTGAATACCCATCTAGTACCTACAGTAGATTTATTACTAGGCCTTTCAACTAATGTTCATACTCTACTTCTCTGAAATTGATTTAACTTTTCTTGCATAGCCATAATTCAATGTTCATCATTTAATGCTTCTTTAATATTCTTAGGTTCTATGCATGAGATAAATGCAACATAATTATATATATTTCTAAGAGAAGATCGAGTTGTTACCCCTTTGTATGGATCACCTATAATCTCACCATCATTGACATAGTTGTATTCTCTTGGGTAAGATACTTCTCTTTCTTCAATGGTTGGATTCTCGAGAACATCATGAGTTTCCTCATCTTTCACTTCTTCCTTTGATGATGGTTCTCCAACGTCATGTCTAACATCATTTGTGTTTATAATACCTACATCATCATTCACACAAGAATCCTTCCTCGAAAGGGGATTATCATAAAAAACAACATGTATAGACTCTTTTACAACTAATGTTCTTTTATTAAATACTCGATAAGCTTTAGAATTTAAGGAATAACCTAGAAAAATTCCTTCATCACTTTTAGCATCAAATTTGCCAAGTTTTTCTTTACTGTTGTTTAAAACAAAACATTTACATCCAAAATGATGAAAATAGCTAATGTTAGGCTTTTTATTTTTGAAAAGTTCATATGGAATTTTCTTCAAAATAAGCCTAATCATTACTCGATTAATAACATAACAAGCAGTATTTGTGGCTTCCGCCCAAAAATATTTTGGCAAATTGTTTTCACAAAGCATGGTTCTAGCCAATTATTCTAAAGTTCAATTTTTCCTTTCAACAACTCCATTTTGTTGAGGAGTTCTAGGTGCTGAAAATTATGGCTAATACCATTAGAATTAAAAAACTCAATAAATCCAAGATTTTCAAATTCAGTTCCATGATCACTTCTAACACTAGTTATGAGTAAACTTTTTCATTTTGGATTACTTTTGAAAATGTAATGAATTTTTCTAATGCTTTATCTTTAGTACTTAAGAATAGAACCCAAGTATATGACAAATGCATATTGTTTTCCACCCAAGCTAGTTGTCCTAGATAGCCCAAAAAGGTCTAAATGGATCAATTGTAATACTCTATCGGTGGATATATCATTAATAGACTTAAAAGAAACTCGCTTTTGTTTTTCTTTAGCACAAGCATCACATATTTTATTATTATCAAATTTTAGTTTAGGCAACCCTCGAACTAAATCTCCTTGAATTAGTCGTTGTAAAACACTCATACTAGCATGTCCTAGTCTCCTATGTCATAACCAACTATCATTCTCATCCTTAGCAACTAGGCATAAATTAGTCATATCTATAGAATCTAAATACACCTTGTATATGTTT